CTTGTGACTCGAGTCTGGACTCGCTGCATGTATTACTCGAGTACTCGAGTCTGGACTCGTTACTCGCACACCTCTAGTTGTAACTATTTGATATGCGGGTACGTACGAAGGGGTTCGAAACAAATAAAGGATCTAAGACACTTTCAGGTTTTTTCGGGGAAAACTTTTTTTTAAAGCAACAGGAGTTAATTATGATAATAAGATATACAACAAGATTGGGTAATTTGGAAAGCCTACAATTCTGATTTAGAGCCATTCAATCATTTACAATGTAATTCTAACGCCATTTTGTGTAGTCACCCGTGACGTGTGTCGTCATTACTATTTTTAGCAAAATGTGACGTGGGCCTTTTTTCTGACATACATACTTATACAGAGAGAGAGAGAGAGAGAGAGAGAGAGAGAGAGAGAGAGAGAGAGAGAGAGAGAGAGAGAGAGAGAGAGAGGGAGATATGGTAGGTGGTGATTTTTAATAAATGTGGGCGTTTTTACAGTCCCATCAACATAACAGATCATTTAGGAGACGGGCTTCGACCCTGCTTGTCAGAGCTAACCCGAGCTGAGTGCGGCAAAACGTCCCAGCAGAAAGATCGAGCTGCTGGATAAACCTTCTCCCCACACGGGAATCAAACCCAGGACTGCCAGGCGCCTAATCGCTTCACTTGAGACGCTGGTGGGACTCCCAAAGACGTTTTTATTTCTTTTATGTCACTCGCAACTGTCCAGTTAAAGCAGTCAGTTGTCCCAGCCAGAGATAGCAGACAGCACGGGCATTTAAAGAGGCCCGAACACGGTGCAAAATGGTAAAGAAAATTTTAGAAGAGACGTAAATCTCAAGGGGTCAAAGTGCGGAACACTCAACTACAAGACAAGACTTACGACATCAACTTGAGCAAAGAACTCTTTCTCTGAGAGAACTGCTTTCGCAGGGAACATTATGAAAATAATTCGACCAACAATGTGATTATCTTTGCCTGAGGATTATTCAAATCTTTGGAAATGAGGGTAGGAGGCAAGAAGATTTATGTAAATATCTGTCACCCTTTTTACTGTGCCATACATAAAAAAGAAGAAGAAAAGGCCACGCGCACTAAGAAGCCGATGATCGGGATCACTAGCTCTTACACTTCCTTTTTTTTCTTCGGTCTTACTCTTTGTAATAGTTTCCTCCCCCCAGACCCAAAAAAAAAGAAGAAAAAAAAGAAAAAAAGAAAGACCTATCGAGCTGAAAAAACCAACGGCTCCCAAACAATTCAAGTTTTACACCTCCCCTTACAGTACAGTAAACAGCTGCAGACGTTTAACTTCTAGATCTAGCGCTTTTTGGAAAAAAGAACATTTGAGCCCTTCCTTCTCAAAAGGCCTGTTTCACACCCGTCCAAAAGTAGCTCCACAATAGCATAGACTCTTGATGTATCGTACACTTTATTAGGTCAAGTAAATTCAGACTGGAAAGGGCCGGTGGTTGGAGGGCTCGACTGGTAGGTCCTACTTCTTTACTATCTCTCTGTTGTTTCTGTTCTGTCTGTCTTACGTTTTCCTTGTACTAAGTGACCATTATCTTGTCAATGAGCTTCTCTTTACTCAAAAGAATGGACGG